CTCGGCTGCGACGTGACGCTGTGCAGGAGAGGGACCCTGTCTGCACCTGAGCATCTGCCGCGCGATTGAGACGTCTGGTTAGACTCGCTGTTCTTCCCGTGCCACTAACGGCCGGGGGATTTCCACTCGAGGAGCTCCTAGGAGAGCTCCTCACGGCCCCACGCAGCCGTCCCCGGGTGCAGAGAGGAGCGGTTCGGGTGGCAGGGTTCAGGTGGCAGTCGTTTGCAGTCCCTCTGCCCAGGCGAGGTCAGGGGCTGCACCCTTGGCGCCGGTGCACAGAAGTAAGGCTGGCACCAAAGAATTGTGCACTCGTAAAAGCGGAATGGATCCCTAAGGTAAGGCAGTCTGTCTTTCTGCTTGGATTGACTGCGTGATGATTTTCCGCCCTTTTGGTGCCCTGAGTGGTTTTTATGAAATGCAAGTTTTATTCTTTCTCCTCTTCTGGCCATGCCCTTGAGGCTTCCTTAGATAGTTGAAGAGATTTATGCATCAGGAAAATCCTGGCAAGGGAGGGTAGATTTTCTTCCACACTTCATTGTTATTCTAATTTAAGTTTTTGTCGACTTTATTTTTTTGAAAAATACTTTCTCTTCCACTTGGATTTGTGGCTGTCAAGTATTTACTATCCTTTTTTATTTTCATCATGTTCATAAGATTTCTGCAAACGTCCCTGAACTCTGTCAGCGTCTCCTCAGCAGCGTGCCCGGAGCCGAGGAGTCGCTGCAGGTGCAGTGGAACTGGGAGGCATTGGGGTTGCCAGCTGGGCAGCGGCAGGCAGGGTGTCAGGAGGCCTGGGGTCCGCTCGCCCTCCCTACTGCCGTACCTCCTCCCCCAGACTGTTTTGTCCATCCCTGCTTCCCAGTTTCTTCTGTTGGGCATGAAGCCGATTCCTTCGCCGCACATTAGAGACTGGCACATCCCCTGCAGAGTTCCATTTTAATATCTATTCCCTGCTCAGAGCCTGTCAAAGCCCCTTTGCATTCCTCCTCTCATGGGTAACTGCCGTTCCTCCCATTTGTTATCATCTGGGAATTTAATGAATAGGCTTCTTTACTTTTTTTCCTTGCAGGCTATGAATAAGACATACACATGTTAAATAAGACAGACACATCTCCCCGGCAGCGTGCCACTTACCGTTACGGCGGTGCTCGTAATGTGCCAGGGATTCGCTTATCTAGGTCACTTCACCTGTGTCTCTCAAAGCGGAAGAAAATATACAGTAAAATAACGGGCTGTGTTTAGCTCTATGTTTTTAAGCCAGAGAGATTTCACAAAGTCCTTTACAGAGGTTTAAGATGAAGAGAGATGTCTCGCCAGTTAAACAAAATAATTTCCCTGCAAAATTTAAACATCGGAGGAGGGAAGCTCAGAGGAAAAGTCCAGAGCGTATTGATATTAATACAGGTGTTTTGTTAGGTTAGACACAACCCCCCGAGACTATGACAAAAGCAGGAGGGTGCTGAAGCGATCACTTTTAGGACATCCAGGCCAAGAGACATCCCTGAGAGGCAGGCTGCTGTGTAGTGCACGCAGTGTGGGAGACCTGTGCACTCCAGAATCACAAGTAGCCTTGTGAAAAGCCTAGCCAGGAGCTGGAAGACCTTCTGCCCCCGTCTGGAGGTTAAACGGCAGTTCTGCCTTCTCGAGCTGCTGGTGCCCGTGCCATGGCTCGTGTGCCATGAGAGCACCAAGGCCCTGCCCAGCGCCAGGCATCAGCTTTGTAGTGGCCAGCCGATACCCAGCGGGTGTTGCTCAGTGTTGTGCCCATCCCGGCTGTGTGGCTGGGATGTGGAAAAGTCAGGAGCTTCCCCATCCTGACAGCAGCCCACCATCCAGGCGGCAGGAAAAGCCCAAGCTGGGAGGTGCCTCCAGCAGCCGGAGCTCCCAGCAAAGCCTGATGTGCCAACTTTGGCACTGGGCAGGCCGAAAACTGCTGTGCTGCATAAAACTCCCCTTTGCAGAGCTCACTGCTGAGTCGCCGGGGAAGATGCTGTGTTTTTGTGCCTAGGGAAAGGCTGTCCCAGGAGTAGCTGACCTGTTCCCTCACTGCTGCTAAAAGACTATAATAATACTGAATTATTTTTTTAAAAAAAAAAGAGCACCCCAAGCTGTGCAAAACTCACTTCCTTTACTGGCTCTAACAAACCAGGCTAATTTCATCCCTTGAATGATACAAAGATGATGCCCAGCACAGTTCCATTAGGAAGGGGTGCAGAGGAGAGGCTGCCAGTTGGGCAGGCAGGACTGGGGGAGAGGAGAAAGACGTTCCTGTCTGCTAGCAGCTGAAACGCTCCTGGGGAGCGGCACGACCAGCGCTGAGGTCAATAGGTCCATCGCATCGCTTTGGGAAGGGCTCAGCCTTGGCCAACACGCACTTGTTCTGCCACATGCTGTCCAGATCTGCACTCAGAGCACCCTGTGGATGCACATTTAGTCCATAGCCTCAAAGATTTCAGGTTTTCTGAATAAGTGAATGATTAACCACTAATGAACTTTCTTCCTGCTTGTATTAGTGTTTTCAGAAAATTTTAAGGTGTGGATACAGTTTCCTGTTGGGTTAAAATAAATTTAAATTGAGGAAGCCCGAGAGCATCTGGGCTTGAGTAGTGCAAAAAAGTGTATGTTATTTCTTTACAGTTTTTCTTGGTTTGGGCTTTCTGTCTGTGGATGAACTATTGAAGATGCCATCTTTACCATAGGAAATAGTAATGTGACTGTTTCTTTTTCTCCCTCCTCTGTAGGCCTACGGACATGAGGTGGTTAAGAGTAGATGATGAGATGCCTCAACACGTTGTAGTGTCTGGTTCAAACCTTCTCATTAGTAACCTAAACAAAACAGATAATGGTACATACCGCTGTGAGGCTTCAAACGCGGTGGGGAAATCACATGCGGATTACATGCTGTTTGTATACGGTACGTGAGAAAACCACCGTTCTTCTAGACTCATTTACGCCTAACTGCGACATGCCGCGCTCGGAAAGCTTTGACAGAACTGAACGTTTTGCTTAATGCCAGATTTACAGATAGCCCCCGACACGGCTGCGTTATACCGGGCTGGGGCAGGGGCTGGAAAAACTTTTCTTCTGCTTCTGTAAGGCTCGGTGCTGTGCGTCGGGTGCGGAGCCCGCTGCGGTGTCCGGCGAGCTCCCTCCTCCGGAGCCGTGCTGCTGGGCTCACCTCGGCGCTCGTGGGGAGCCGAGGGGAAAGCCAGAGCAGGGGCACGGGGAGAACCGTGACGTTCTCTGGCCTGAAGCTTCTCCTAGGACTTCTCTGATAACTCCTTTTCCTTTTGGTGATACCTTCTCCAGTGTCTTCGGCAGTGGTCTAGGCTGAGGGTGTGTCAGAGTCTTTCGTTATCGAGTTGAGTGACCAAAGATTCAGCCAGCATCCCCAGATAATTACAAACCAGTAAATAAACTGGAGGAGTGAGATGCCTTGAGCCTCTCTGTGGTGGCTGAGCAGACACCAAAACACGCCTCAGCATCTCTTTAAAAGTGTTGTTAAGTACCTACTTTCATTCTTTGGTTCCTTTGCATTATTTTGCAGAGGTCTGAACCTTGTGCTCCTGTCACGAGCTGTTATGTTTAATGAGGATTCAGCAGGCATTTGAAGAGTGATCCCCCAGTTTAATTACGAGCACTTCCCTTGGGCTGCATATATCAGCTTTACCTGTTCCGAGTGGTTATTGCGAGGCTGGCGGAGCCCGTGGTGGGTGTTGCCTGTTCCTCGGGCGGGACAGTGACTTGCTTTGGTTTCACGTCCATTCCACACACCAGCCACTTGAAGCTCTGCAGTCCTGATTCTCTTGCACTCTCTCAGAGCCACAGAAGCAGTTGGCATCGCCTCTGCAAATGTCACTTCCACATGAGCTGTTTTAACCCGGGCTTAGAGACCTGCCCAAAGATGGAAGATAATACCAAACTACAGCTTTGACCTTAAATTGGACTCACCTACCATGTCATAGGGTTAGTTTTCTAGGGCCTGTGGCTCCTAAAGTCTCCAGTTTAAAAAATGAAGTCAGGTGTGCCTTTATGATGGAATAATTTGTATGCTCACGGTATAAAAAAAATACCTTGTTTACACTGACGTTTAAAGAAACAAGTAATGTTGTGGAGAGCAAAGAAGTTCAAGCAGGACACAGGCAGTTCCCCATGAGATTAAAACTATGGGAAGCTACTCCTGTAAAGCAGTTGTAGATGGGGTGGTTTCATTCCTTGTACGTACCTGTCTTGGCCCAAGCAAGCGCCAGAGGAACCCTCACACCCATTAGTGACCTGGGATTTAGAGCTTGTAGTAACTCTCGCACTTGTTAATTATTCTGCGTTTTGGACGTGGGCAAGAACTTCCTCAGCGCTGCTCCCCCTCGGTGAAAGCCACGGGAGGAGACCTGAGACAGTATGGCGTTAAAGGAGATGCTGGTTCCCAGGGGATGTCAGTCCGTGGACTCTAGTTCAGGTGTCCAGCAGATGTTTTGGCCATGTAGGCAGGGGCTTTTCATGGTCTGTCAGGAGCTTGCGGGCAGATAATGGTTTTACATCCCGTCACATCCAGTTTCTGCAAGTTTGGGAGCATCCTGCTAGGATCCGGCACTCTGGACAACGTAAAGAATCCTTTAACCCTGAGTTAAAAGGGAGAAGTCCAGAGGTGTTGGTGTGGGGGAAGTGGGCTGTGGCCATCATCTGACACCTTCTGGTACACGCCCACAGTGGAGCTGTCAGTGAAGGAGGGTTCTCCAGCCTCCATGAACTGTGCTGCTCTTGCTCCACTCGTCAGTACACTGCGTTTATGTCTCCAGCCCCTGGTGCCTTTCCCACTCCATGAGAGCAAATACTGCAGTAGCACTGGAGCCCGTGTCCTTGCAGACACGTCCCTGCCAGCATAGTGTGACAGCTGGTGGGAGGATGTGCCCGCTGCTGGTCCCCTGCCTCGCCACCGGCTGATGCGATCCCTCCACGCCCGAGGTGCCGCAGGGGAGCAGTGGTAGCCACAGCAGAGCCGTGGTCTGGCCCACCTCCACCAGAAGCAGGGCTGATGTAGGCTTCGTACCAAGGGGATATGTCTGCTCGGGAATGGTTTTACATGCCAACGGCCTCTAGCAGCCAGGGCTTGCAAAATGACTGCTGCTGAGCTGTGCTTAACACACCTTCCTCTGCCGCGCCCGTGGCGCGAGGGGGTCTGACCGCGCTGGCGCACACCGAAAGCACGGTTACTTTTAAAATGGGCTCCCGGCTTTTCCTCCCCATGGGAGTGGGCAGACACATCTACTAGAAGCTTCTGGCACAATTAGCACACAGACATTTTTATTTTGCTCTTCTGCTGCATAGCATCGTCCCCGGGGCAGTTTGCCAAATGGCCGGGGACTTTCTGCCCCTGGTTCTGCTGTTCCCATCTCCGCTGCTCCGGGCAGACGTACGTACTGGGAGCAAGGGAGAAGGGCCCCGTCCGAAGTGCAGGGACTGGGACGAGGCGCCTCGGGCGCAGGGGAGGGGCAACGACCGCTTGTGATATAGCCATAAATAAGCACTCCACAGCGAAGCAAACTCTGGGGTAGCACTCCTTAACTTTTGGGAAGTTGTATGGAACATAATAAAGGTGCAGCCTATAATTAAAGTTCAGATATCTTAATTAGGGAATCTGAGAGAGCTTGCTTGGAGATAAAAGAGTAGCAGATGTGCCAGTGATGAGAAGTTGACATGCTATAGAAGAAACCTAAAATCAAAAGCCCCTGAAATGTTTCATGCTCTATTATTGCTGAATGAATCTGTAGTTCAAAGTCTTTCCGACTACTTAGCGCATTCAGTTTGATCATCTGGGCATCGATACATATTTTTTCTTTTACATCTTCTTATATCTACCTTCTCCTGCCCAGTAGTTTTGATGGGGAGGTGCCCCTGTACATAAGGTAAATAGTGTGAAGAGCAGCAGCGTTTGGGTCTCAACAGGTCAGGTACCTCGGAGGCATGGTGATCAGTCACAGAGAGGGACGTACCCGTGTCCGTGTTTCTCGTTAACGAGGCCCTAGTAGCAAACCTGAGGGCATTCAACTGAAATTGTCAGAAAACTATTGACCTTTTTTTTTATTAAAAGATTCTGGTGAAATCCTTCATACCTTGAAATTGATATTTAGTAATGATGTTCTGTGTACCTGTTACCATCTTTGAAGTGGTTCTGAACGTCCTGCTGGCGGGTATTCACAGAGGAGGGGTAGTGAGGGTGGGATACTCTTAATGTGCTGGAGCCTGTCGAGCGCAGCGGGGCCCCTCACACACACCTCCCACCTCCAGTTTCAAACATATGTGCAGGAAACCAGCCAAGCCCCACCGTGTCTCTCGCTGTACATGTAAACTGTTCTATTTGTTGTGGAAAGCGTGCAGTTTATTTTTCTTATGCCTCTCCCATTCCATTTCTCTCTCTCTCATTGACTAATTTATGCTGGGTTTTATTTATTTTTTTTTATTTTTTTTTTTAGCAATGTAGAGGGTCAAAGGGGGGAGAGTTGTGGGGCCAGATTCTCCAGCTAGCTAAGCAGGTGCTCGAAGCCATGCCCAGCTGCTGAGGATCTGGCCCATTGTCCTTAAAGCCAGCTGGGCAGCCACCACCTGGTTTTAGAGGAGGGAAGGCACCCGACAGCCGAGCTGCTTCTTAGCATCCTTGTTTTTCTCTGATCACGATTGACCGCTGTTGTGTTCTGCTTGTTTTTTCTTAATTTGCTTTTTTGTTATTTTCCTTTTTATATTTTATCCAGATCCCCCCACAACTATCCCTCCTCCCACAACAACCACCACCACTACCACCACCATCCCTACCACCATCACAGGTATGGTACCTTCATAACCATTGGAAATGTCCTGAATGTTTATTGTCTTTTATGTATATAAGCAGAGCATGAAGCCTGGGGAAAAACAACAAAGAAATCACTTGCTTTTTTTTTATTTTTTTAAACCTCAAATACCCCCATGTTACAGCACGAGTCCTGGGCTGGCAGTTCGATGAGTTGGACGGTCCTTACTGCAGGTGCTTCTGGAACGCGGGGATTTTCCGTGGCAGAACAAGCTGTTAGTTCACTTACTGGTGGCTAATCTCGGGTGCTTTCAAACAAAGGATCCAAACAGCCTGAGAGCTCCTTTAATGCGGGCCGGTGCTTCAGCCTCAACCCCCTCAGTATCAATTTCTGAGCAATTTGTACTTGGAAGCAGAAAGTTTGGGTTTCAGTCGTTTAATTCGCTTCACGTGACTCGAGGTGCTTTTTCTCATGCGTAGGTGTTTGGTCCATCTCTGAGATAAGCCCTCTGCCTCGCTCGCCTGGAACAGGGAGTACCATCCGTCCCTTTTAGTTGAGTTGAACACTGCCTGTAGGACCCTTTTTGAGGAGCTGGCTTTTAGCATTTTGAGTTTTTCCCTGTCTTGCGAGAACAGATGAATACAAACCTCCAGCTGATAACGAGCCATCTCCTCTCTCTTTCACACGCATCCGTCATACCTCCTCACTAAACCCGACTCTCTCCGCTCACAAGGAAGGCCTTTCTGATTTATTTGTAATCATTTGCATTGCCATTTCCCTGATCTTTTCTATTTCAACTGCTGCTTTTGCTCTTGCTTGCTTGCTTGTTTTTTTTTTTTGAGGAAGAGGTGACAAACCAAAGGTGAGAATGGACCATTGAATAGCTAATGGCATGATGTTCATTGTTGCTGTAAACCATCCCCTGTGTAAATGCCTTCACGTTTTATTTGCTTTTATGACGTTGCTCAGCTGACTTTACCTGTCCTGCTCAGTGTTTTGTGGCTTTTTTCCTCCTGAGGTTTTTGTGACCGAGTCAGACTCCGCTGCCATGGACAAGCCGTTGAAGTCCTCCCAACGTGCCTTACTGCGCGCTGTGTGCACAGCCTGCCATCCACCATCGTCTTGTCCAGACCTTGCCATTCTCTGTCTTCCTCTTTCCAGGTGGTTGTCAGTAAAACCCAACGCCAGGCACTCAGCTTTGGCTGCTTGAGACGCTCTACTGTGAACACTTTCCCATCCTGCAGTTTGGTCACTGTGTTTCGGCTGTTTTGTTTTTCTTAACTTAACCACCTTCCATTTCAGAGTAGGTTTCAAACTGTATCACAGGTCTCCTAAAGAGCCATTTGCAGAGAAACTCGGTCCCGTGTGTCTTGATGTACGTGGATGTGCAGTCAGTTTTCTCTTGGTTTATGGTAATTTGTTAATGCTTTCAGTGAATTTTGGAAGGCTAAAAGGAAGATTTTGTCTCAGTGCTTTATCGACCCCACTAGCTTTACGTTGGTGCCTGCAAACGCTGGCGACTGTCGTTTTCCTGGGATTGGGATTCTTCTCAGCCTATAATTTTAGAAACTGCCCTAGGACAGAAGTCCAAAGCCCTCAGTCTCCTCTCCAGCTCTTTGAGGCTCCCAAATCGTAGTTGTTGCTAACAAGTAGTGGATTTATTGTTGGCTTCTCTGCTGCAAGCGTTGCAGCGTGTTTGTGAATTTTCGGTAGCCTCTGAGTGTTCTCCTCTGCAGTAGTTTTCTGGTTTTTTCATATGCACAATAAGAAGGGGGGAGGTGGGCGGTTCTGGAAGCCAGAAACGGCTATTGCCAGGCCTCCTGTCCAAGCTGATTTCAGGAGTGGCTGTGGTCTAGCGGCTGCTGTGGTGTTGCCCAGGTTTGGTGTTGGAGGATCTAAAACTCAGGGCCTGCTAGCATCCTGCTGGGAAAACCCACATGGGTCTCTGTCGCCTCCTTGGTGCCTTTCTGCACTGGCTTGGGCCTGCCAAAGAGGCTGGGAATGTAATGGAAGCGTAAGACAGTTCACTGATTCTGGCAGTTACTGCTCACCTTATGTAGGAAGAAGATTAGTTAGTGCTGGTAAGAGAAATTTTTATATTCTTCCCTGACACCCATCTAACTCTGAGTTTTCTTGATGTGGGTCTCCACATCTTCTGTCCACCAGTTTGGCGTGGTTTTTCCACAAAGAGCAGCTGAGGCATCGTCTCCTTTCATTGTGCAGACACGTGCACGTGGGTTTTTCCCAGCCAGCAGGCAAGCAGCATGAAGCTGCAGAAACTTCTGCTCTTCAGTAGTTGAGAGACTTTGTAGCTGGAAAAAAATTAGGTCAAATTAACATAATCTCTAGAATTAGATAGCATAGTAGTGTTGAAACATTCTTTAAAGCCTCAAGAGACAATTGATACCTTAATTCCCATCGTCACCAACACGCTGGAATAGTCTTTTGGCATGATAGAAGTGCTCTGGTAGCAGACAGGGTGTTTCTCCTCTCCACTGGCAGGCTGGGGGCGCGGGGGCTGCCAGCCAGCCGGGCAGAAAACCCCTCCTGACGGTGGAGGGGACTGCAAACCAGGTTCATTTTGCCTTTTCCCCCTTAGTTCTTGTAGAATGCTGGCCTAGCTCATGTCTCCTGAAATCAGAGTAGTTCTGAAAAGCAATTCTCTTGCTTTAATTTAAAATAAAAGCGAGGGAGGGACAGACCTGTGGTGCAACAGTTCTGTGTCCACAACTCGGGCTGTAGGTAGGCTGTCACCTCTAGCACCTCCCCCTAACAAATTGTATTCTTGGAAGTGGTGCTTTTGAGTTATTGGAGATAACTTCTTCTGGTTTCATTTTCCCCAACTAAAACCATCCAACAGAACTCTTAAAGGGCCACATTTGCTACTCCACATGCGTGGTGGCTCCTTTTGTGCAGGTTCCGATGACAGGCAGCTTTCTTTACTTGCTAACGTCAGTATTTCTACTCTAAATGTGTTCTGATGTGACATGGAGATGCCGTCTTGTCCCGAGGAGTTTATCTCTTGCGTGGTGATAGATGCCGCTCAGCAGATCCGAGCCAGAGCAGGAGGTGCAGTGAGCAAGGGAGGAGGGGCAGCGTGGCACGCGGGCGTACGGTGGAGCACGGTCGTACTCCCCACGCTCACGGGGTGCAGTGTGCTCCCCCGCACACTCCCAGTCTCTCCTCAAACCTGCCCAAGTCTGTGCCTACAGCGAAGGGTCCCTTTATCAGCCCCTTTATCAAGCAGCCTTGCTTGGCACGTCCAAATCCTGTGTGGCTGCTGCTGGAGGCTCGACCTGCAAAGGCACGTGGAGCTGGCGAAGCGGTTTTACGGCAGGGAGGTTTTGGGGAAGAGCTCTCCAAAGCTAGCCTGCTGCTTTTTTCCAAGAGAAGGAAAAGCTGAGCAGCGATGAAGTTTCCAAAACAGCACGACCTTTAAAGCTCTTCCTCTGTCACTGTTGCTTTGCTTCAGTGTAGGTGCTTGAAAAGATTTCCTGTGTGACAGTTTGATCTTCTTCGTATATCCTCCATCCGCATTGATATTCCGACCATCCTTTGGCGTTTCAGCTGTTATCGCTGGCAAGCCCTTTTTTATCAGTTCAAATTGTCCTTGTGGCTTTGTTCATTAAGATGTACAATGTGATACAGCAGAGCAAACTGCATAATTTGAATTAGCCCCGGAGTCGTTCCTTGAAATGCTGGTTCTGGACAGCTGTTGTTTCCTGGGAGATAAAGGTTCTTCATAATAGCAGAGCTCTCATCTTTGGGCCCAGAGTGAAGCGGTTTAGGCTGCCTTGTCAAGCCTCATTTTGCTGCCTTCTGCTCTTGCTCAGCACATGCACCTCTGCACCCTGGGATCTACAGCACTATTTGTGTGTCCCATTTGCATTTATCATGCCTTCTGTGCAGGTGGGTCACGCGGGTGTCTCAGCAACAGCCTCAGTGGAGACCTAGGTGTGTGGCACACACGTTGCTGGTACTTCGAGCCTCTCAGTGGGTGCTGCTGACTCTGCAAAGCCCCTGTTTCTGTCTTGCAACCCTGTTAACAGCAAGCGGACAGATGCCTCCGTGGCCTCTCTGTAATGCTGTTGTAGACCATGTTTTAAACCCCACTTTTCCCTTAGAGTCTAAGGTAGCGTGTGCATGTGAGCACCCAAGGGGCTGAAACATCGTAAGCAGTGGTGTTAGCTTAAGATCTCCTGGAGATCTCAAACCTTCCCACTGAGCTCGGTTAGAAAGCACAGGCCTGTGCTGTGGAAATGCTCAATGTTCCTTCTTGAAGCTGGGGATTTTTATCAGCAGGATCAAGCAAGCTCTGTTTGACTGAGTTGAAGGTGTTCAGAAGTCAGCAAACGCTGAAGTAGGAGCTGTTAATTGATGCTGAGTCTGAAGATCGCATCTCAACTGGGGTCACATAGTAGCTGAGCTCGCTTGGCCTGTGTGGTCCCGCGTGCCACTGGGCGAGGGCAGAGGACTCGGTGTCTGCTTGGCAGAGGCTGACCAAATGCCAGCTCTGGGCACCCCATTAACACCCAGAGGTCCGTGTTATCCTGGCTACCTCAGGAATGATAATGCGTGGCAATCTGTAGTCTCTGAGACGTAGTAGTGTGGCAGGTCTTCAAAGCATGAATTCAGGTGCCAGAAAACTTCCTCAAAATGATTTTATCCTCGGTACAAGCTTGTTCTTTCCTCATTACAGCCGGTTGTGTGAGATCCTACAGTCACATGGGGTTTATTCCAACAGGAATCCAAAAAGGTGGTGGGTGGGAAGAATGCACTAACAGTCATTCTTTGCTCAAATTACCTTGCAGTAGGTTTGTGGGAGATGAAGAGGCAGCGTGGGGATTACTCAAGTACACGTGTACCCGCAGAATCGCAGGCTTTGCATCTCATCAGGTACGGTTGCTTGTGCACGTGATGCTGCCGGTGTGTTCACGTGGAATTTAATCCCAAATAGGGAACGTGTTTGTTCCCTGGTTGGATCAAACCGGGCCGGTGGAGGCCAGCTCCAGCCCGGCTGCCTGGGCTCTCTTCTG